TTATTCTCAGCTTTTCTAAACAATGAACAATTATCTTTGACTTTGTACTTCTATGGAATTTGAAATGTATAACTTCATAAACTTTTTAGATTCTATTCCTAGATTTATCTAAACTAGTCTAATCTAAAATTTAAAAAGTTTGCACAATGCTTGTAAAGAGCCCATCATGATTTAGCTATATTGTAGATAATATCAACCAAAGTTCCTGCATTCTATAGATTTTTTTAACCTCAGGTTTGGAGTTAAACGCCCCAGATCATAGCCAATTATCGTCACTGGCCATACAAAGCCTATCTCTATTATTATTTTTTTCCTTCCTCAGCCCCATATCCCATTCCCTGCCACTCTAGCTCCTTCCCATTCTCATCCTTAGGCAACCATCCTAACATGTTTACTGTACATCTTTGTATTATGTTTTCTTAAAAATTGAATATTATCTTGGATAATGGATGCTGTATCTTAAATTTACATAAATTTCATGTCATATGACTCATTTTATTTGTTTATTTTTTATAACTAAGCACTATGGTTTTAAAGATCCATCCAGGTTACTATAAATAACTCTAATCTGTATTTCTAACTACTGCGTAGTGTTCCAATGTATATTATCAGACATGTTACCTATTTGCTCTTAGAACACCTGGGTGCCATCTAGGCCCCCTACCCCTCTCACAACCCAGAGACAGAACCAGGTTTCATGGGTCCGTAGCTTACACAATTTTTTTTACCAGGGGGGATTGAGAACAAAATGCATATTACAAATAAAAATTAGATACAAAAATGAATATTAAAAGCAAGTTCAGAAATTAAATGGATTTCCATTTTTAAAAAACTAACCAATATCACAAACACCACAAGTTCCAAAATTTAATTAAATTCCTAGAACACTTAATCCTGTTTCTCCATTTATGGCTTCATTCTCTCTGATCACCTCTTCATAAGGCAATGGTTCTGTAATAGAGGGAATAGAGGGAATCTTATCTTTCCTTTGGCATAACTAGTTGAAATATAGGCGTGTGTGTGTGTGTGTGTGTGTTTATTACTGATAGTTGAGCAAATTTCTTTTAGATGTACAACTCATTATTGGCAATAGCATATAAATTTTTAAAATTACTATCACATTTGGGAAAGCCTCCTATTAGGTCCCTTTCATAGATGAGCTGTAAGGTAACAGAGCATTTTGAAAGTCCTTGTTCAATGGCTAATCTTAAATACTCTGAATTGACAACACTCTAACCACTTTGTCATCAATGTCCTCAATATAGTGATGTATGATGAGTTTTATGTTATCTTATGCATTAGGTATTTCATGGCAAACCAGCATAAAATTTAATCTTTTTCCTCAACATATTTATATGCTTTACTCTTCTTCTTTCACTGGATTACCAAACAATCCAAGAATCTATTTAATACCTTCTATAAGAAATACCCCTCCTCCTCTTAGTGAAATACTGTTTCTCACTTTTGCTTCTGATATAATAAAATTTTGTTATATTTTGTTACTCAATGTTAATATAATTTGTTGATTTCCTTACTTTTTATAATTTTTATATTCCACTAATCTTGTATCTGAATTTTCTCTCAGTATTTTAATACAAAAAGTTAAAGATGACAAAGAAAGTGCTTTTCATATGTATAACATACATAAATATTATATATGTTCAGTAACTTGCAATTTTAAACTTCAAATACTCATATACTTTCCAAATTGTAGTTAAACTGTCATTTTTGAGCTTTATCATGTTCAGGGTTAGAGTCTTGTACCTCATTTGTATTTGGTTTTCTCCACAAAATCTTTGAAGGTATATTTTATAATTTCATTGTACCTAAAATGTGCAGCTTGGAAAGCTTTATAATAGGCAGAATACATAAAAGAAAATTCCAAGTTCGGCATTTGTGTTTAAAATATGCCATCTATAAAATGCAAGAAGAAAAAAATGCAACTGTTGAAATATACCAAAGTAATCACAGTTTCAGGTACAGGGAAGACAGTTTTTCTTCTCCAGCAAGATTAAAGGAAGACCTGTACATGGCACCTGTTCTATATACTTAGTGTTTTTCTAAGAATGTGTATGATAAATGTACATGGAAGTGACTGCAAACCACATAATTGTATCCCATTGAAATCCCATTAATGTATCTCCAACTAACTCCACTTTGCTGCAAACCAGATATGCCCATGACTACTCTAACACTACTTAGTAAGAGGGAAATTATGGTAATAGTTAAGATACCTTACTTTTATAAATCTTACCAAAATAGATAACCATGTAAACACATTGCTAAGGCTCCTCATTCCTCAATAAACTCACTTGTCACCAGCACAAAATAACACTGTCATGAACAACTTTGTACGTGTCCCTTTATGGAGTTGTGTAAGAATTCTTAGGAAATTGTTACCTGGGAGCATAACAGCTAAATCCTAGGGTACATATATATTTAATTGAATTAAACAGTGCCACATTCTTCTCCAGAATGACTTTATTTTTCTACTCTCCCACTAGAGTAAAGTGGGAGTGTAGAGTACTCGACGAAGTGAGTACTCGACGAAGTTTCTGTATCTCTACATCTTCAGCAATACTCGGCATTAACTTGTACATTTATAATATTGTCTTCCCAAGGAGAATTTGTATCAAAATTTTCCCAACTTTTACCAGACTAAGAGGTGAAAAACTACCTTTTTCTGTTGAGTTAGCATTGCTCTGGTCTACAGTGATGTTGAGCACTCTGTTTGCCTATTAGCTCTCTGGTTTTCTTCTTAGGTAAATTTTTTGTTCTTATCCTTTTTCCAATTTTTCTATTGTGATTTTTGTCTTTTATTGGTTGATTAGTAGGTATTCCTTATATATATGAGATTTTAATATGGACTGAATCCCTGTCTCTTACTATGGAAATCTAAGGCGAACTATCTTTCCTTTCCATTCTGGCTAGTGGGGTAAGGCCACATCTCCTAAGCAGATCCAAATCTTTACTTTGACCCTGAAATGAGTGAAGCAAGATGAAGGAAGGGCTGGTTGGAATTCCTTTGTGCTGGAGCCTTTGTGTTGCTATGGTAGAATCTAGTTGTGGCAGAATGGTCTAGCCATCCTTGACACATGGGTCTGCTGAACAGCCTCCAGTCCTCCGTTTGGTCTGCTCATTTTCCCATTCAGCTCATCCAGCTTCTCAAAGCCTTCTGATAATTCTGTGAGGACCCTGTACCTTCCAATAAGTATCTCTTTGGCTTGAGACAGCCAATGTTTGTTCTTCTCACTTTCAGCCAATATTCTTGTTTAATATGGGGAAATTACTTTTGACTCATTGTGTGGAAACTAGGTTATGACAAAAACAAGCTAATTTTAGACAGGGCAGTTTTGCTAAGTGATTAAAGCATTCCTTCTGAATTATCTGAAAAATAATTATCTGAGCTCAGAAGTAGCAATTTGAAAGAAAAATAATGTAGTCTATAAATGTAGAGCCCATTTCATATGTCTGCTTAGTTTATAAAATATGATTATTTTGCTTATAATTTCTATTTAAAGTTTTTCTGCAAAATCACTAGTCCAAAACTTCTATTCTTCAATCTAAATTCAGTCTTTCACACTCACTTTAAATATACTGCTCTTTTATCTCTTCCACTATTATTCTCAGCATTTGAAAATGTAATCATGGACATGTAGATGCAACAAACTCAAGACCATTCTCTAAACTGATAGGATATAATTCTTCAGTGAGCAGTACAAGGGTTGTCAACTGGCTAGAATAAAACAATTCTGATAATTTAAAGTCTTCAAAATTAAATTTTCTTTTGAAATTACATTTTTAATTCATTTCGTTATAAAATATTTGTAGTTTCTCATCCTTCAGAAAGTTGGGGACATAGAGGAATACTGTTATGAGAAATAGAAATGCTAATAATAAAATAATTAAAATAACGATCATAAGAATGCTATATTATTTGATCTTGTCCTAAACTAGCAGTTCCCAATAGGGTAATTCTTCCCTACCCACCTCCCCTTGGGTTGGCTTGCTAGACTTAGCAAATAAAAAATCACAACATTCAGTTAATTTAAATTATTGTTAGTTGCCTATTTTGGGATAAGTAAAAAATATGCATGTAACATATTTATTCCAAAAATGTATTCATTGTTTATCTGAAATAAATTATCAATATCTAAGTTACACACATCTTTTCTGATTATTTCCTTAATGATTTGGCTTTCATGAACAGCTCCTTGTTTTGCAGAATTTGCTTATAAAATTTCTTGCAATTAAAGTTTATGTTCTACTTACCTTGTAATATATCTTCCATAGTAATCACATCAACTTATTTCATTCTTTGAACATTCATTAATGAGAAAAAATGTTCAACATTAGCTTTATGAGGTGGAATACTGAACACATATTGACATAAAGTCAACAACTCTAAGACATGTGAGTTTTTTAAAGCACATAAGTACTATCTTTCTTTCTTTTTTTGCGGGGGGGGGAACAGGTATAAGGGACTTTATTCTATCATCCCAAACCAGAAATAATTTCTCTTCTCTGATTCCAAGCACTTTCATTCCTCTCCTTGAAATACTTTTATCAGGGAAGGTTCACCTATGACACTCAAGGTGAAAAAAGGACAATCAGGAATTAAAGTGTAGGTATTTCAGGCAAAGACAAGTACAAAGGAACTGGGACAAGAAAGAGCAATTCCAAGAAATACATTTTTCCTAAGAGCTAGAGCACCATACAAGAAAACCATAACAGGAAATGACAGGGAAAACAATTTAGTAGGAACCAGACGAAGTGCTTTAAACCATCTGTTTTTAAATAGTAGCCTTCAAAGGCAAGTTCTTTATCTTTAAAACACAACTATTTAAGACAGGATACAATTATAAGAACTCAACTTTCACTGAGCTTAAATGCAATGCGACAGATAACCTTTCACATATTTTTAAAATTCTTTTTTCTTAGGGATTTGGAGGGACTATTTTCCAACTATAAATATTTTTAAATAGTATCTGGCAGTTTCCTAACCAATTGAGTATATTGTTCTACAATAAACCACCTCACATCTTTCAACAAGAAAAAAAGCCACTAAGTTTGAATAAAGACATCACCCAATGAATTAGGACACAAACTTTGCTTTAAATATTTTTTGGGGGGAAAGGACACCACACTTCTACTCAATTAAGAGAAACATTTTTACAGTCTTGAGGTCTTTTATTTTCTTTACATTTATCATGCCATGAATTCATAGGTAATGGGTTCCAGCAGTTCAGGCTCCTTTCCATTAGTTCTCACAAAGTGTGCTTCTCTGGGTGGGGCAGGCTGGCCCTTCAGTTGAACCCAAGTACCTTTCTCTTTGGCTTCCTTCTTTTTCTGATCATTTTCCTTCACACGCTTCAGGAAGCTGTCTCGGCTCTTTGAGTGTTTAATATGCTCAAGGCGTACATTAATTCTCTTGGCAAGAATCTTGCCCTTAACTTGTTTGTTTACAACAATGCCAACAGCATGCTGAGTAACATTGTAGACTCTTCCGGTTTTGCCATGGTAACATTTGTGGGGCATTCCTTTTTGAACAGTGCCCATTCCCTTGATGTCCACAATATCACCTTTCTTATAGATTCGCATGTATGTGGCCAAAGGAACAACTCCATGTTTTCTAAAAGGTCTAGAGAACATATAGCGGGTACCTCTCCTCTTTCCCTTTGTGTTGGTCATTTTGGCAAATTACTGGAAGATGGCGGTTCTGGCCGAAAGGAAGTACTATCTTTCTTGACATAACTTGCTTTTTATTCTTGAGGATCAGGTTGTATCTCAGACTATGAATTTTTAAAATGTTATTCACTGACAGAACATTGCTATAATTTTATTCTCTTCTTGACTGAACATGATGATTCTACTTACTCCCATTCTGTAAGATTATTTAGCAACATCCTTATAGAAGAATCAAATTCTTCAAGGGATGAAATCCATTTCAAAATATAGTCATGACATGGGGCGCCTGGGTGGCTCACTCGTTAAATGTCTGCCTTTGGCTCAGGTCCTGATCCCAGGGTCTTGGGATCGAGCCCTGCATCGGGCTTCCTGCTCAGGGGGAAGCCTGCTTCTCCCTCTCCTACTCTACCTGCTGTGTTCCCTCTCTCGCTGTCTCTCTCTGTCAAATAAATAAATAAAATCTTTTAAAAAATATATATATAGTCATGACAATAGCCATTAAGTTATTATCTTCAAGATGGATTTTTTCCCCTACTTATTCCTAGGTAATATAATCTCTTTTAAAAACAGCCTAGGTATTTAAGGGATAACATTTTCACTAATTTTCTCTTTCATACATTCAACAAGTTCTTTCAAGCAATGGAGTACTCAATAACATTCTGTTCTCTTCTTTCAAGCTGCATAATCCTACTGCTAAAGAGATAATGAAGACTCTGAATAAGAAATACATAGACTTCACTCAATGGATTATTTTTTAATCTATTTATTTGGCAGAGGGAGAGAGAGAGAGAGGGGGGAAGCACAGCGGGGGGGGGAGGGTCAGAGGCAGAGGGAGAAGCAGACTCCCTGCTGAGCAGGGAGCCCGATGTGGGGCTTGATCCCAGGATCCTGGGATCATGACCTGAGCCAAAGGCAGATGCTTGAGCCACTGAGCCGCCCAGGCTCCCCTCAATGGGTTATTTTAAAAGTCAGCAAGAATTTGTGGGGACTTTTCAGAATTAAAGTATTATATCAGTGCTTCAAATAAGCTGAGGATTCTCTCAACTTCCTTTGTTAAGAGTCACTAACTTTTAGAATACAAGAGAACTGAAGACTACTAAATGCAAAAAAAAAATTATAAAAATTCTTTAATTGTTCAGTTTGAACAGAATAAATGCTGAAATAAGAAAATTTCATGACAATTACTGCCACTATAAAGGACACCAGGTGCTGTTCATCTTGTACAATATGGCAAAATGGCCAACACCACCAGAGATTCATTTATGCCTTGTTTCAACTTCCAATAAACACTGCGCCTTTAGGCAAACATCCACCAAATTTATATTTTTACTATCTCTACCGAAAGTATAATTTTTTAAAATTTTATTTTATTATGTTATGTTAATCACCATACATTACCTCATTCATTTTTGATGTAGTGTTCCATGATTCATTGTTTGCTCCATTCAATACGTGTCCTGTTTAATACCCATCACCAGGCTAACCCATCCCCCCACCCCCTTCTCCTCTAGAACCCTCAGTTTGTTTCTCAGAGTCCATATTATGATTAACTCCTAAGTCAGTAAGAGGGAAGAGTACTCACTGTGAACACTTGGTGAGAAGAGTCTAGGGAGGATACTAAGCACCCTACAGGAATGCCTCCCAGGACAAAGGATTATATAGCCCAAAATGTCCATCCTGCTGAATTGAGAAACTTAGGCTTAGAAATCACAATTTCATCTGGTGGCCTCTTTGATTTAGTACTGGCTTTGGTTCTTACAAAGTTTCTTTTTAATATCTAATTTGGCTCTAATTGTTTTTTACATTATCTAATTGCCATTTACATCGTAAACTCTCCTGAGAGGTGTTTTAGACTGCCATTAAATTCACAAAGGTAGTCACTTTTTTTCAAAGATTTTATTTATTTATTTGAGAGAGACAGAGTGAGAGAACACAAGGTGAGTGAGGGGCAGAGGAAGAAACAGACTCCCCGCTGAGCAGGAAGCCTGACGCAGGGCTTGATCCTGAGACTCAGGGATCATGACCTGAGCTGAAGGCAGATGCTTAACCGACTGAGCCACCAGGGGCCCCTAGTTCCTGTTTTCAATTAGAATCCTTCCACTGTCATTGGCTTTTTGGTCCAGGCTTTGGTACACACATCAGAGTACTCCCTGTAAAGAACACCTGCACTGAGTGCTAGACCTTGTACATTGACACTAATTCATTTGGGAAATAGTGTCTGATTGTTTCCATTATTTTATAAGGAACCATGACCTTGAAAAAATAAAGTGGAGAGAAAGCGGATTGGAGAAGAAGGTCTCTCTCTATCAAATAAATAAATAAAATCTTAAAAAAAAAAAAGAAATATGTGACATTGACCAGGAAGATTCCTACTCTCCAATAATTAATAGTCTTTAAGAAAGATTTGTATACAAATAACCATAATACAAGGCATGAGACAATTACTTAAATAGAAGTATTTAAAATGTATTTTGGGAACACAAGGAAATAAAAGTGAGTTTGAACTGGTAATAAGAAAGACAAGTCAGAATTCTACAGCAGGACATGGTTGAATACAGATTTGTAAAGGTTAGACTGTATATGCCAGGTACCTTCTTTTTAACCCTACCTCCAATACTTAGAGGCTATGTCTCTTTGGTCAACTTACTTAACTGGGCATCTCAGTTTACTCATCTGCAAAATGAGTATGAAAAGGATGTTGGACAATTAAATGAGTTAATGAATATGAATTTTTTAGAAGCATACCTGAAACAGTAAGATCACAGTAAATGCCTATGATAACTGTTGTTATTGTCATTATTAATCAGGCAGAGGGAACAAAATGAACCAAGGCATCAATGCATGCATCAGAACACACAGAGCAAGTTAGAGCAATGATGAGAGGCCTGTGGAGTACTTGGTAGCACTCTACCAAGGTATGAACTGGCACTTGCTAGCAGAGTAGTAGTGAGAGGCATTCCCCTTCTATGGCAGACTTTTCGGTAATCAAGGTAGCACTGCACATCCATACAAGTCCTAGGAGATGAGGATGATGCTGAACAAGCGTGGGAGTCACACCACTTAAAAGCTGCATATTTCACCAATCAGTTATAACAACTCTGCATGAAAGGGGCATGCCCACTCATTAAGGGTGGCCCAAGGTAAGACAATCTCATCAGGCATTTAGAGTTCTACCTGTTCAGATGGGCCCTACCAATCCGGGATCATTTTTCATCTTTTGTTCAGTTTTCCTTATATTGAACTGATACTAGAGGTTACTGTTGCAGCCCATCTAATGTACAGATGTACAATAGCACTATACCTACAGCACTTGTTGTCCCCTCCTCTCCATGCAACTTTCATTTATTTTTTAAACCTTTATTTTGAACAAGTGATTCACAATGCCTTTGTGCCTTACTATGCAGATGTTACCTTGATCACTTAGTTTAGTTGAATTTTTTCAATCTTCTCCACTATCAAGTTCCTCACTTTACCTTTGTTGCTGTTAAAGGAAGATAGCTTAGACTATGGAAATCCTGTTTGTCCTCAAACATTTGCGTACTAATTTTAGTATCCATCAGCGGATCTTGTGTGCAATATTTATTACGGTGGTGTTTGCTGACTGGTGATTCTATCTCAGGAGTCTCTGTTAACGTGAGTAACAGGACTTATTGATATCATTCACACATTTTTATGTGTTTCCAAGGAAACAGAGGCAGAAAGTTAACTGAACGTTGAATTATCGTGGAGAATGAGAAAGGGTAAAGTTAACCTTTTACCAACGGACACTGGAAGCTTCTTAGGCTACAGAGCAGGTTGTGAAGTGCAAACAGATGTAAAGGAGGAGAAAGGGAAAAAATGGAGAATAAGAAGTTTCTAAACTGAGTGTCAGGGTATAGCTGAGGATTGTTCAATATATTTTGCTGGAAAAAAAAAATCCTTTCTGCCTCTAGTTCTTCTCTTTAGAACTCCTATCAATTCTTGGAGTCGAGCAGGGTTGGATGTGTACCTTTGGCCCTTTTTTATTTCCCTGTCTCTCCTCTCAGAACACTGTGGTTACTCCCTCCTCCAGCTAAAGTGTTTACTCCAGAATCTGTTCTTTTCAATGGAAGCACTCATCACACTTTGAATTATTTGCTTCATGTCTATCTTCTTGGCCATGTGGTCAACTCTGTGTGGCAGTGACCAAATTTATTTTGTCTCCAGTACGTAGCATAGTGCCTAGAACATAAATATTGACATATATTAATACTATTAAACAAATGAAATAGAATGGTTAAGTTCTATAGTATTATGTGTGTGCTATTCTAGATACATTAAATGTTACATGGGCTTCCATGAGCCAGTTGTGGAAATACTACATATTCCTTACAGGAAAATGTATTCTGAATTCCTAATGAAAACCTTATAAATGAAGACCTTATAAGTGAACTTCTACAATGCAACTCAATAGCATGCTTCTGACAAGAATTTTCCTTTCTGTGAATAAAGTTTAAAATACAAAAAGTGTCCCCCTGTAAACTATCTTATTTGATCTGATTAACAGACTTTTGAAAATATCAATATTCTAATGTTCTTCTTAATTTTAAAAAAGCAAAGTGAAAAAAATAACATCACTTAGTTAATAAAGACCATCATAATGTAGCAGAAAAAGTACTAGTATGAACCTTAAAAATACCTCTATTCATATCCTGGCTCTTACTTTGGTCATCTATGAGACCCCGAGCAGATCACCCAGCTTACCCTAGTACCAGTTACCTTACTTGGAAAATGTAAAAGTTAAATGATGATCTTTAATTTCTTTTCTGGTCTAAAAAGTGTATTTAAATAGCTATGACTTTTCTGAATTTGTGATACTACCAGAATTTGTTTAGCACATTTTGAATAAAAAGCACAGTGTCAGTAGATGATTATTTAATAAACCCTTCAGTAGTATTTGATAATGAGAATGCCTTTTGAGACAATAAAAAATAAACTAAACTTAGCCCATTATGTGGAACAAAAGAGGAAATATGTGTGTTCTAATA